TTTATAGACATACACAGGTGCCAAGGATCCGAGTGCAACCAATTATGATTAGTAATAATCAGATACAGAGGTGATAAACATTAACATTGAAATCTACCCGATGACTTTATAGACATACACAGGTGTCAAGGATCAGAGTGCAACTGATTATGACTAGTAATAATCAGATACATATAGATTAGAGATGCATGCGCCAACATCTCAATGTTAGTAGGAAAAACACTCAGTCTTTCTGCAAGGAACAATATATTCTAAAATGAAATGGAGATCTTTTGTAAGGGTTAAAACTCATTCAATTTTATATCTTATAGGGCTTATACTGAGTTCAATATTGTATAACTGTATTAACTCAACTGTGAACCTAGAAACTTGCAGGCACTTGTGAAAGAGATGTATTCTTGCTCTGGAGTGTGTTGCTGAATATGTTAAAGCTGTAATGAAATGCGTCTTCTAATCATGTAGTTATTAAATTTTTTTTAAATCTATTTCATGTTAAATAGTAGAGATGATCAACATCACCAGTGAAATCTACCTAATGACTTTATATCCATACTCAGGTCCTAAGGATTCAAGTGTAACAGACTGTGACTAGTCTTAATCAGATACATAGAGATTAAAGGCCCATGTGCAAACATGTAGTGTTAGTAGCATCAAAAATGTAGGAAACAGCATATCTTAAAATGAAATGGAGATCTTCTTTAAAGGGTAAAAATTCATTCAATTTTATGTCTTACATGGTTTATACTGAGTTCATTATTGTATGACTGTATTAATTCAACTGTGAATGTAAAAATTTACAGCCACCTTTGAGAGAGATGTATCCTTGCTCTGGAATGTGTTACTGAATGTGTTAAAGCTGTAATGAAATGCTTCTTCTAAAACAAACAAAACAAAACAAAACAAACAAAAAAAACCTTGAAAAAATATTTGAGGAAAAAAACAAAAAACTAAAAATAAACCTACCATATGACCTGGTTATACCACTCCTTGGCATATACCCAAAGGACTCATCCTATTGTAGAGACACTTGTACAACCATGTTTGTTGCTGCTCTTTTCACAATAGCTAAGAGATGGAAGCAACCTAAGTGCCCTGCAATTGAGGAGTGGTTAACAAAAATGTGGTGTATTTGATGTATTTACACAATGGAGTTCTATTCAGCAGTAAAGAAAGATGGAATAATGAAATTTGCAGGTAACTGGATGAATCTAGAAACTGTTATACTAAGTGAAGTAACACAGAGTCAGAAAAACAATGTATGTTCTCCCTCATATGTGGATCCTAGCACCAAATCCTTTTAAATTCCAGGTCCTTTTAATAAGATGATGCTATACAGCAGTCCCTTCTGCATGAGGTAACTACAATCATCACAACTTCATCTGAGCCTGTTTGCTATACATCATCACAATTGGGCTTGTTGACAGTTGTGCTCATTCATTAAAGGAGGGCCAAGCAGGGTCATTAGACCTTCACCAGAGTATCCAGCCACTTTTCCCAGCCAACTGTATGTAATTTGGCCCTAATTACACATCGCCTCCTGGATTTGGGGAGGGCTAAAGTATACAATCTGGGGAAGGCTAGGAAGAGAAGACATGACCCATGCTGGGTAAAGGCTTTCCAGTGTGCATACCCTCATGTTATGCACACACCCCAGCAATCCCTCAGTTATCTTGGTAAGTAAGCTCAATAAATTCATTGGTTCCCCAGTAAAACTTTAATCGAACATTGGCTTGACAGTAGAACCTTAAAAGGGAATAAGCTTTGCTCAGCATCCCTAGGAAAAGAAGTCTCACAACAGATGGAAAATGTATTTGTTAATGCTGTTATGTCTCATAATTATTTTAAAAAAAGAAGAAAAGAAAATGAGAATGTAAAAGGTGTTAAAAGGACATGGGAATGGAGATATTTTGCAAAATAGAAAAAATGAGAAAGCCTAAGCAAGTGATGAAGGTCTGCATAGGTTTGTTATGATATATAAAGGATGAGACAAAAATAATATACACATAATCTTAAAATTTCTAAGACCTACTGACAAATTATACATACAACTAGAACAAAGAATGTAATATGTCTAGGCAAGGTTTATCTGAGAGCATTTGGTCTTTATGCAAGCCTTATCTACACAGCACATGATAATTAAAAGTACCCGACTGCTGGAACTAACCTTATTGGATGTTTAACAGCCATAGTTTGAGACCTATACTAATGTGGTCAGAGGGACTTAAAGGACAGTTTTTGCCCCTTGCCCTCCAAGGTCGATTAAGTTCCAGGGGACAATGGAGCATCTCTCAAAATGTCCTGTAAGTGTGGTGAGTCACCTGTCCTCTTGTTTAGGGAGGACATGGAGACCCCATGAAATGGACCTAAACCAGTGTCCAGTCTTCAAAGAGGAGGGTCAACTCAAAGGAAACATCCCATTCATGCCTCCCAGTGAAGCCAGACATGGTTGAGCAGGACCTTTGACTTATCTTCACATAGATGGAACTGGTAAAAGAATGGAGCCAGGGGCTCCTCCCAAGCCCATGTGACCCCTGAGGAACAGATCCTCAAATGACCTTAAGTGTAAAAATAAATTGATTTATCTGGGCCAACTGTATGGTCTTAAACACCCAAAAGGAAAGTGTAACCAAATAGTAAAGTCATCAGTGTATTTCTTTAAGAGTTCCAGGGATTAAACTTCCCAGACTTTAGGCTTAAGTCTATATAAAAAGTTAGACAACTATTTTTCATTGATGATTTTGTTCCTAGCCAGAAAGTGTTGCTCAGATGTAAGACTTCAAATCTTAGTATCCAATACTGTAGTGCCCACCTGTAGTTAAGGGAGACAACCAGCTCTTGTTCTAAAATGATGAATAAATTTGTTTTCCTCCCCCATCTAGAACCTTTGAGAGGGAACTGACACTGATTCTAACCACTCCAACAGCTATCAAAATACCTGAAAGCAAATCCTGAATCCATCACTCTAGAGTCCAGCCTTGGAAGACAAAAGAAAAATGAGGATGGACCCAATAGAGGGATGCTTTTGGAAGCCCTTGTCAAGAAATTTCAATGGACTCTCATATGAACATTTGAAAATTACCATGTTCTTTTTTCTAGTTCCCTGTCCAGAACTTGTAATGTTGATTACTCTTGCCTTTACTTCTCCTTCACATCTCCTATTCACAATTCAAGGACTTTCTTTTCCCTCTAGAGATAAGAGTTATGCAATTTGGGAGTCTTTAAGATAGACTCACTGAAGGGGTACTCCAATTGCCTCACCCTGCATCCCTGCTCAGTATGGAAGAAGCCAGAGAGGTCTGCGTCCCAATTCCCTATTGGCAATTTGGGTAACCTCTTCAGAGGATGGTGTGATAAGAATAGGAGGTAGGAATTGGCTAGGCAGTTAAGGTAAAAAAGACCCCAAAGAAAAGTAGCCAGTTTCTTGGCTACAAGTCAAAATGTCCTTGGGCCTCTTTGGAACATACTCTGCTCCAAAGGCCAAAAATGTCAAAAGTGTTTGGGAGCTTGTATATAATCTTAAAAGATTCCAGGGATACCTCTTCGCAGGGGGGAGTGTTAGAGTAGCCAAAAGCACCATAAAAATCAATCAATCAAAGAAGCAGAAAGAGTACATGAAATTATCAGAAAAAAAGTGATGGGATGATATGGGAGGATTTGGAGGGGAGGGAGTGGGCATGGATTTGATCAAAACATCTTAAATGCACGTATGAAATTCTCAATAGCACCAGCAAACTAAATCCAATATCATATCAAAAGATCATAATTTGGTTTCTAATTTCTATTCAACCCACATATGCTTCCCTTTCTGAGTCTTCCTTATCTCTGATTGCCAACAGCATTCATCAGATTCTAAAGACAGAAACATAGAGAGCAGTATTTGAACACCTGGCCTCAGCTGATGGTGCTGTTTACAGAAGTTTAGGAGGTGTGGACTTGCTGGAGAAGAAAACTGAAGGCAGGCTTTAAGAGTTCATTGTCTTTCCTTACTTCCAGCTCAGCTTTCTCTGCTTCTAGTGAGTACCTGAAGATGTAAGCTCTGTTTTCCACTCCTGCTGTCTCCTGCCATGCCTCTCTGCTGTGATGGACTCTTCTCCCTCTGAAACTGTAAGCCCAATAAGCTCTTTCTTCTATAAGTTGCCTTGCTCCTGGTGTTTTAGCACAGCAACAGAAAAGTAACTAATACATGTCCTCAGTCAATTCTGAATACAGTATCTAGGACAATTACCTTAAAAATCAGGTTATACTGCCCTGACCATCCTTCCCCCACTGCCTTTGTTCAAACCTCAGGCACATATTCCATTACTCTTAGTGTAAAATCCCAGTTCCACATCAAAATGAATGAGATCACAATGACTGTCTACCATGTAGCCAACTCCATTCCAAACAACTGCCCCTTTTACATTCACCATGACTCAAAGATGTCAATTCTTTGAGGAGCTGAAGTCATAGGTGGTTGTGAAACTGTCATTTGGGTGCTAGGAACTGAATCCAGGTCCTCTGAAAAGGCAGCAAATCCTCTCAACCACTGAACCATCTCTCCAGCCCCATGTTGTTATTGGTTTTACAGTCTCTCTCTCTCTCTCTCTCTCTCTCTCTCTCTCTCTCTCTCTCTCTCTCTCTCTCTCTCTCTCTCTCTCTCTCTCTCTCTCTCTCTCTCTCTCTCTCTCTCTCTCTCTCTCTCTCTCTCTCTCTCTCTCTCTGTGTGTGTGTGTGTGTGTGTGTGTGTGTGAAAGTCAGAGGACAACTTGCCAACTTGCAAGAGCTGAGTTGGCTTCTTCCTTCCACCATGTGGGTTCTGGGAATTGAACCCAGGGCATTAGTCTTAGCGGCAAGTACCTTTACCCACTGAGCTAGCTCATCCAGCCTGGAATTTGACTTTTGATAGAGCAGGAACCTGTCTGTGTATTAACCAACAATCATATCTCAGTGTTCAGTCCAGTGTTGATGGGGCGGGGGATATTCAGTTATAAAGACTGAATGTCTGACCCAGACCCAAAAGGCTAATTGTAGGATTGGAATTTCAGCTGCAGAAATGCAACACAGTCAAAGCATTAGAATTTCCATGCTTACATCCTCCCACCCCAACCCACATTGACTGAGCAATGTGAATCTTTGTACCTGAGAGGTGCAGTCATAAAGCCAGGCTTGACTTCTCTTGGAAAGGCTGAGTTGAGTTAACCCTGGAAGAAATGAGTTTATATCTTACCATGTTCATGTTATGCATTTTAAAAACAAGAACATGTATCTATGGATGGATCACAGAATTATTGCATAGATTGTGACATTACCGATAACGCACAAGGAGGCTCTGTGGCAATCCAGATTACCAACATAAAAGTTTCATTCATATTTCTCCTTGAGTCTATTTTAGGCATTGTCTCTGTCAAATCTGCCAGCCCACAAGACATGCGGTATTTATGACTATCATTTAAAGCACTGAATCCTTAACTCCTTGAAGTTCTAGGCTAGGGGCTAAAATGATGTAGTCTGAGGGTGTCCTTTGTCTATCACTAGGAAATACATTAACTTATCACGGAAATGAACACAGGACAGGACACCTGTGTGATCTTGAGAGCATTAACCTCTCACAAGGGTGTAATCTTGACCTAGCTCACTAACCCCTCACAGGGGTGTGATCTTGACCTAGCTAACTTCTCACAGGGGTACTAAACATGGAGTTAGTGCTCAGCCTAGCACAGGGAGCCCAGTGAGCATTCCAAAGAAGCCTCATCACCTCTTATTTGCAAGCTGCAGGGCAGTTTATAAAGAAACTTTTGGAAGAAAAGAGAATAAAAGTAATGTGTATTTGGAAGAAAGGGCTATTCCTTAAGACATTCTAATTCTACCCAGAGATCTGTTAAAGGGAGACAAATGTGAACAGTAATTAATATCTAACAATGTTAACTAGGGAAACAGTTGCCTAAATTTGGGATTTAGTCAAAATAAGGGAGTCTTCCATGGTTCAGATTTCTCTAGAACTTAAAGCAGAGTCACTGTGTCAGCAGTTCTCAAAATGTGTACTGGGGAAACCATAAGGAGCCAGCAGTCCTATGAGGCCAGAACTGTTTTGGTGATAATGAAAATGACATTAAATCATCATGTGCTTTCTCTATTTGTTGGATAGGCGTACCCTCCAAATGACCAGCAACAGATGGATGTCTTCTCTAGCTTCCTCCTCCTTCAATGACTGCAAACTGTTTGAACTACAAGACTCTCCATAGCAAGGGCAGGGCATAGGGAGACAGTCACCCCTCCCACCCAATCAGTCAGCTTCAATGGCATGGGGGGGAGGGTCTAAGGCTAGACATGGAAGAAGCCAGAGAGGAAGAGGGTGCTCTGCCATCTTGGGCCAGCAGCAGGTCTGAAAGGCTCAGCTGAGGTGTAGGGAAAAAAATCCCACAGGTGTCTATACCTTTGTAAGTACTCCTCACTGTCATCATATGCTCTGTTAGCAAGCCCAAATAAATATCTTTATTCTCTAAACTGTAGTTTGGTGGAACATCATGTCAGTTGGTCATAAGGACAGTAGGCCTGGGAGCCAAGAGCACTTGCATCTCCCCGCAGTAAATTCAACATATACCATTTCATGGCTTACCACCACGAAGTGGTATTTTCTAGTGACTATAGGACTCATGACTAAACTCAGGAGCATGTGTGGAAGAGGGAGACATGGTCTACAGTGGAGTGATGTAGCCACTAGTAATGTGGCCTGTGCTTTTGTCAACAACCCCTTACCTGAGTTCCAGTAATAAAGCGTGAAGTTAGAAGGACCGGTTAGAAGAGGAAGCAGATCAGCAGGAGTGGGCCCAGAGAAAAAGGAGGTAAATACAATCAAAATCTATGTCTATGAAAACGTCATAATGAGAGCCACTGCTCAGTGGGTAAAGCTGTGTGCTCTGCAAGCCTGATGACCTGAATTTGGTCCCCTGAACCCACGTGAGGGTAGAGTAAGAGAAACAACTCCACAAATGTGTCCCCTGACCTGCACATGTGCACTGTGGCACACACATATCATACATATACAACACATATAGCAAATGAAAATCTACAAAACATTTTTGAAAATGCCGTACTGAAACTCTATGTATAATTAATAAATGCTAAGTAAGAGCATTTTAAAATTAAAATTTTAAAACATTTAAAAATTTAAATTTTTTTATAAGCCAGAAATTTTCTAAACCTAAAACAATGATACTCTTTCTCACATCGTTCTTATTTATTTATTTAATTTTTTGGTCTTTTTGAGACAGGGTGTCCCTGTAGCCCCAGCGGTCCTGGAACTCACTATGTAGACCAGGCTGGCCTTGAACTCACAGAGATCCGCTTGCCTCTGCCTCCCAAGTGCTGGGATTAAAGGCGTGCACCACCATGCCCAGCTTTGTTCTTATATTTATAGTTCTTTTATTTTTTTTTATGTGTATGAATGTACTGCCTGCATCTTTATAGGTGCAACCATGTTGTGCAGTGCCCACAGAGGACAGAGGAGGACACTGAATGCCCTGGAATTGAAGTGTTAGCTGCTATGTGGGTGCTGGGATTTGAACCCGGGTCTTCTGCAAGAGCAGTCAGTGCTTTTAACCACTGAGCCAACTCTCCAGCCCCAGTTCTTTTTCTGAATTTTTTTTCATTTAAAAAGTCTGAGGGCTGGAGAGATGGCTCAGTGGTTAAGAGCACTGACTGCTCTTTCAGAGGATCCAAGTTTGATTCCCAGCACCCACATGGTGGCTAACAACTGTCAGTAACTCCAGTTCCAGGAGATCTGACACCCTCTCTTGACCTCTGCTGACATTGCACAACACAGGCGCACCTACCTACATGCAGGCAATACACTCATACACATAAAAATGATAAATAAAAAAGTCTATCACTATACAAAGGCTGATTACTGTTATTTGTGTGTGTCTGTATGTATGTATGTGTCTGTGTGTCTGTGTATGTAACGGTCTATGTTTTGGCAATGCTGGGGAATGGACACAGGGTATTTAAACATGGCATTGGCCCTGCTAGACAAGCACTCTGGCACAGCTGTATTACCAGCCCAACAGTCTAAGTGTTAATATGAAGTCGTTCACAGCTACAACCTTCATAGGCAAAAGTGCCTTGGAAACAATCAATATTAAGTGTGTAAAGTCCTGATAAAAAGAAGATTGAGAATAACTCACAACCAACCACGATCATTCAGTGAAGATGTTTCAAGATGGTCATCACTGATCATGCATGATGCTTCCCAGGGGAGTCTAGCGTGTAGTTTCCCTGACCGTGTGTCACCATCACTACTGTGTTAACTGGAGCAAACAGAATGAATGGCAAGTTTAAAAAGAACTGGTTTTGCTGTGGTGTATGAAGTATAGTCAGAATACAATCCTTCCTCGGGTCATTTTACCTAGATTTCTATGCAAAAAAGCAACTCAGAACTAATAAATAAAGCTTGTAGGATGTTCAACCTTTTGGCTTCTCTAGGCCACATTGTCACCTACAAAGTTCACACTTGAAAACCATGTGATCAAGTTACAAAAAGTTTACCAAAAAAACTCATGTTTTAAAATTTTGTATTGGGCCACAACCATAGTTATCCTCAACTACATGTTGGCCATGGGGCTACAGTTGGATATCCTTACTAATAACCATTAGGAACATTTACAGGAATTCCTAAGTATTCGAGTGAAAAGAGAAACATTTGAATGTGTGTGTGTCTGTGTCTGCCTGTGTATGATATGTCTGTATGTGGTACATATGTGGGTGTGGATGTGTCTGTGTCTGCCTGTGTGTGGTATGTCTGTGTGGTGTGTATCTGTGTCTACGTGTGAGTGAGAGCACATGTACATGGGCTTGTGAAGGCCAGGAGTTGACATCAGGTATCTTCCTTAGTTGGTCTCCACCTTAGTTTTTTTTAAGATAGTCTCCCACTGAACCTGGAGCTCACTGATTGGGTCAAACTGGTTGGCCAGTAAACTTCAGGAATCTACTGTCTCTGTTTCTCCAGTGATGGGACTGCAAACCCAGCTTTTGGGTCTCAAAAGATGGCTCAGCAGTTAAGAGTATTGGCTGCTCTTGCAGAGGACCTGGGTTCAGTTCCCAGTACCCACATGGTGGTTAACAATCATCTGTAATGCCAACTCTAGGGCATCTGATGTCCTCTTCTGGCCTCTACTGACATTACATACACATGGTACGCTTATATACAAGCAGGCAAAACACACACATAAAATAATATATTAAAAAGCAAAAAACACACACACACACACACACAAAAAAAAAAAACAAAAAAACCACCCAGCTTTTACATGAGTGCTGTGGTTTGAACTTAGGTCCTCATATCCATAGAGCAAGTATTTCACCAACTGAGCCATCCCTTCAGGCTTGAGAGCCCTAGAATTTTCCCACAGCAAAAGGAGAGGACCAAAACTCTACTCTCCACCCACCTCCAGCGACACTAGAATACAGTGTAATGTTCTAAACAGATGGACACAGCAGCCTCTGGTTACAAACTGACAAACTACAGTGAGAGAAACTTGTAGCAGGATAAACTCATTTGCTTTTTTAAAAAAGTGTGTGTGTGTGTGTGTGTGTGTGTGTGTGTGTGTGTATATATATATATATATATATACATATATTTTTAAATATAGGAACACATACAAATGAACTCATCAAATACATCCATTATTATTTGGGGTTAGAGAGATGGCTCAATAGTTAAGAGCACTGATTACTCTTACAGAGGACCGAGGTTCAGTTCCCAGGACCCATATAGTGACTAACAACCCATCTATGCCTCCATTTCCAGGGAATCCAACACCCTCTTCTGGCTTCCACCGGCATTGCATGACATGGGAGCACTTACAGAACACAGGCAAAGCACTCATACACATAACATAGAAATAAAAATCTTAAAACAGAACACATAATTCAGTCCACAAATGCAAAGTGAGACAACTGTTTATTCAGAACTCTACTTTCCTCAAAATCAACTCATTCAATTTTTAAAATACCACTTAAAAATAAAGCAATTTGGATCAAAAACCCAGAAATGTGAATGGTTCCATTATGCTTTTTCAAAATGTATACTTTTGCAACTGATGTTACTAGGCTTACTCTAGTTTCAGGGTGAGGTCATGGAAGTGGCTTGTCAGAAAAGCAGCTGTTCAGATACTTCTGTGAGAGTTACCAATGCCAACCACTTACTGTAGAGAAAGCATCACACATTAGTCAAGATACTTGTAAAAAGGACACTTCTTACAGTACCTCAACACTTGCAGATCACAGAATGACTCCATATCAGTTGACTGTTTCTCCCAAAACTCCTAAAATTGAAGAGAAGCTTTCATTAAACCCTCTACACTTACTGTTTCCTGAAAAAGATCCTCATAAATCCCAGAGAATAACAAATTCCACACACACAAAAGAGCCTACCAGAGCATCTTTCTCAAGGTGTTTGAGAGCCTGCATATCCTTCTCAAGGTTGTTCAACTCCTGAAGAACAGAACTGTGAAACTTCTCTAGCCTGTTCAGTCTGGTAAACAAAAAGCAACAGACCTCATTGGCACTGCTTGGCTGTGACAAAGAATATTCTTCATTGACCTCCCTATTTCAAGAGTACATACCCAGCAAATCACTCTTGTCTTAAGAACATGTTAGTAACTCTCTTCTCTTCCCTCCCATCCATGCTCAGTGTCCCCAATCCCAGAAACTCAATAAACTCTCTCTCTCTCTCCCGGAGGAAGCCAGTATCTATCCCATTAGGACACAGAACAGACACCCAGAGGAGGAGGAGACTGAGAGTCCTCCTTCCCTTCTCCTTTCTGATATCTCCCCTTCTCTGCCTGACCTTACAGTGGCTGCGAGAGCTGTGGTCAGAAATAGGCTCACACATGCCGTTTCCACCTTTGGTTTTAGTTTCGAATTTTCCAGCAGTCACCATTCTGTGTCTAACCGCCACATAAATGGCTCCTGTTGGCCATCTCTCTTCACCAGGAGGCTCACTGCTCCTTGTAAACAAGAGTTCCTAAGGCTTGCTGCTCATTTGGATATTTAAAGTCTTTGTCCCAGGGAACTGGGAACTGATGGAGGCCTACTGGGAGGTCACTAGGGGCATGCCTTGAAGGGGACTGTAGCATCTCGGGCCCTTCTTTTTCTATTTTTCACTTTCTGGCTATGGGGTGAGCAGTTTACTATACCTTCTTACCATGACACTCCGTTCTACCACAGAGCAATGGGGCCAACTACTCATAAACCAAAACCTCTAAAACCATGGCTCAAAATACATGTGCACGCTCATGTGTGTGTACTTAGCTTTGTTGCAACAGGGTGCCACTCTACAATCCCAAGCTGACCCAGGACTCATTATGTAGGCCCAACTAGCCTCAAAGTCATGATGATCCTCTTGCCTCCAGCCTCCCAAGTACTGGAATTACAAGCATGGGCTACCATGCTGGGCTACCTTAGGTATCTGCTGGCCTGCACTGCATCCCCACAATGAGGAGAGTCTAGCATCTGCTGCTGCTGTTGTGTGTTGGTTGAGTTGATACAAAGCAGCATGTAAGGCCCTTGAAACACAACAGGAACTACACAGAGTCCTTTGTGGCCTTGTCAGAGTATAAGAGTGCTTGAAAAAAACCTAACCTTTTATTCAAATAATACATTCTATCCCAAGAACATTTCCACTTCAGCTAAGTACCAACAGACTCAAAATTCTTCCCGTCCCTCCTTCAAGTCGTTCTCTCCATCACAGAACAGTCTCCACAATCATCTTCCCTGTACCACTCAAATCTTTGTTTTCAAGATCTCATTCAAGAAGCAGTCCCACTGCAGCTGCTGGAATCACCTCTAATTACCACACACCCAGCCACTCACTGGCCTTTTCCTTCTCCTCATCTCTGAAATGTAGGCATACTGGTTCTCCCTATAACACAGTTGTAATGGGATACATGCTTATATTCTTATCATGGCATACCATAAAACTGACCCTTCTAACCATGTGTAAGAGGGAAACACATCATTAGGCACATTCACAGTGCTCTAGGGCATCGCTATTGCACACTTACAAGGGTTTCCCATCAATGAAACAGACACTCTGTGCCCATTAAACAATAACCATGCCCACTCTCAGTCTCTGCCATGTTTTCTGTCTATACAAATTTCTATTCATGGGGCTGGAGATATGGCTCAGCAGTTAAGAGCACTGGCTGCACTTGCAGACGGTCCAGGTTCGAGTCCTAGAACCCACATGGTGACCCACAACCGTCCATAACTCCAGTTCCATGGGATTGGACGCCCTCTGTCCTCTGTGGACACTACACAACATAGGGGCACTAACATACATGCAGGCAATACATTCACACACATAAATAAAAATAAATGAATGAAAACAAATTTCTATTCACTCGCTCTAGTAGAATGCTTCATCTAAGTGGAATTATACACTATTTACCTTCTGGGGCCTGGCTTTTTTTTCTTAGCATAATGTTTTCAAGGTTCATTCATATTTAGCATGTGTTGAAATTAAATTTCTTCCCGAGGCTGGATGACAGTCAGTGGTGTGGACATACTACCTGCATCTAGCCTGTGTTTTTGCATAGATCTCCATGCCTGCCCTGTCTTCAGAAGTAGACTGTAATTTTTTTTAAGTAATGTTTTTGGATCATATACTGGGAGATCATGAGAGGTTTAAGGAGAAGACTGAGTTCCATCTGTCATCTTATGGATGGAGGGTGAGACACTGTAATAAGCCTCACATCCACTTACACTGCATTTTCTCAGCCTCCGCATTAATGTTCATGAGACAAATGTTTCCCACACCCCCCATGAATTTGTTTTGTAATTCAATATTTACCTGCACAGGTCTATCCGGTTCCAAAGTTTTACAAGGCAATCTGGTACTTTCTTTGCCTTTTCTGAATAGAGTGGAATGTCTTTCTGAGTAAGCGAAACCATAACACAACAACAAAATGATCACATGTGGGTTAACCATAACTCCTTAAGTTGAGCATTTGTTGTATTAAAAAGACACCACCAATAGATAATGTTCATAGCAAATATTCGTACTGAACAACTGTGACAAGATACCGTCCTGCAGACCTCTCACGTGTTGCCTCAGGTTTGTACCATAAAGAGAAAATAGGAAAGCATATTTTTCACGCTAGTGATACATACTATTATGGAAGCATGTCCATTACAAATTGGCTTATTGCAGAAAATAAGACTCCAAAGGTCTTCCAAGTTAATTAGGTGAATGCTGGGTAGGTATGTGTGATGTTTTCCTCAAGTGTGCTACTACAGAAATCATTAAGGACCTGGAAACAAGACACGGCAGGGCCGGAAATGGCTGGGATGTGCGTCTCATAGACAAGACTGAGGTGGCTTGCATGCCTAGTCTCTCACAGATCTGCTGTTGCTCCACTGACACCTTCCACATCCTCCTCCCCATCTGTCCAGAGCCCGCCCTCTCTCTCTCACATGGTTCCCTCCTTCCCCACCTCCTTGTCTGTCACTGTGACCAAATCAAGTTGCCACAATGAAACCAAGTCACAGGTGTTTGACCCATTGGAGTAAACGGACATGGAGTCTTATCAATACAATTGAAGCTCACAATGGCAATAAAATCAATGACCAGAACTAAGATGAATGCACCCCCACACACACACACATACTCAGAAAACCTTCACATATGAAGAATTCTGTACTACCCATCAATAAGAGGACTTTGTTTCTTAAAACCATGAAGAGCTAGTTTTTCTTTGTTTCTCACTTGCCCAGTTTGTTGAGATGTACAGCTGGAAATTTTTTTTAAATGGCGGCTGTGGAGATAGATCAGTCAGGAAAGTGCTTGCCTAGCAAGCATTAGGAAGTTAGTTCTAGTCCCAGAACCCACATAAAAAAGCCCAGCTTGGTGGTGTGTCTTTGTAATCCCAGAGTTAGGAAGGAGGACACAGGTGAATCCTATGACTCTCTTGACCAGTAAGCCTAGCCTACTTATGAGTTCTAGGTCAGTGAGAGATGCTGTTTCAAAACAAAAATAAAACAAAAGGTGACAGAGCCTCAGGGACAGTACTAGATGACATCTTCTGACCTGTGCACACACACAGACACAAAAACCCACATGTGCACATGAACATATCCACGTACAGAAAAAAAAGGTTAAATTCAAAAGCTACACTTGATGTTTTGCTATACATACATACTGTAAATGATAACCATAATCAAGACAGCATGTCTATCATATCACATGATTATCATTGCCTAGCCCTGGTAAAAACACTGAGGCTCTGTACTGTCTACTCTCTGTAAGTTTCAAGAATACATTATTATATTAACTATGTCACCACACTGCACATTAGATCTAAATGAAATTTTGTGCCCTCTGACCAGTGTCGAGTCTCCCTTCCCCCGGCCACCACCCTCCTTCTCTCTGCCTCTGAGTTTAACTTCTGCAGATGCTACGGACAAGTGAGGGCCTGATGTTTTCATGTGGTTTCTCTCACTCCCGGTTCATTATGAGCTATCTTTTCAACGTCTGTGGATTATTACCTCATATTTTCTTTTCAGTTCTCTGGTAAAGTTTGCAAAGGCCATCATTAAAGCAGAATCCTTCAAGGTCTCTGGCACATCTTCTAAGGGTGGGGTATAAATGTCTAGTAAATAAAAATAAAACATTAAATACAATAAATGCTCAAGTAGACCTGTTTGGTCCATCTGCTGGCTAGAGGATAGAACAGTGCATGCGTCAGAAGCACGCAGATGTGAACCATAGCTAGACTAGCTGTCTGGATCTGACCCTGCAACATGGCTGACCCGAGTCAGGACCACACACATCAGCTTATACTAAATCAATGAGGCAGACACCTCATGTTGCCTTCCACCAAACCTCATCCTCCAGCAAGAGTTCATTTTACCCAAACCTTCCCAGTACCTTAAGTCAGAGCAATTGATTTTGTCTAAGAAGAAAGCTGAGGTATTACAGGAGGTTTTAAAGAAGACATAATGGGAAGCCGACAGGATGACTGATTCAGTGAGGGTGCTTGCCACAAAACCCAATGACCTGCGTTTAATCTCTAGGACCCACATGGCAGGAGAAAATTGACTCCTGCAGCTGTTCTCTAACCTCTACACATGCACAGTGACACACATTCCCCTCCACATACACATATGTACAGATGACTAAATATACTAAATTTTTTTTAAATGATGACAGGCTATGTCTATGAGGATGTCTTGATATAGAATTTCTAGGTGCCATGTTTTACATTGTTGTTTTTGAGACAGGGTCTCCCTGTAGCCCCAGTTGGCCTGGAACTCCCTATGTAGACCAGGCTGGCCTCAATCTTACAGAGATCCATCTGCCTCTGACTTCCAAGTGCTAGGATTAAAGGTATGTGCCACCATGCTCAACTCTTACTGCCAGTCTTAACTGGGGCATTGTCCTGAAGAATTAGCATGCATCATCTCATTCAGTCTTCACAAAACCCATATGAAGGGGGCTGGAGAGATGGCTCAGTGTAACTCTAGTTCCAGGGGATCCAATACCTTCGGGCCTCTGCAGGCACCAGGCATGGTGCACATACATACATGCAAATTACTCATACACATAAATAAATCTTAAAACATGTAAAGTATGTATTGCTTGAATCCACTTGAAATATGGAGATCATGTGACTTCTGCAAGCCCACACTGGCAGCTCTGAGAATGGAGCCCGGTCATCTCCATCACAACCTTGTACCCCTGGACATCCTCATTTGTCTTTTTTGGAGCTTTTTGTTTTCAAAATACATAATACATGTGCTATTGTTCACCCAGGAAGCCAGCTGCACTTATGTAGGCCTTGCAGGTCATTTTAACTGATCACGGATCATCTATACACCCAAACTTAGTAACTATCAGTTAAACAGAAACCTTTAATTTTAGAACTCCCCAGATCCTGAAGATTACAATAAAGAGGCACTACAGAACAGATATCAAGTGCTAGAAAGGGAGTTGCTTGTATCTACAGTGTGTGCAACAATTTTTCATCTCTGGGAGAACACAATGCTCAGCCTGAAGGCTTCTGTGGTTCTGGTGATCTTAGAACTGTCACTCTTGTAGTTCATGTAGGTGCGCTGTGTACAGGCACATTCATCACACTCCTACGTCAGCATGGAGTCACCCGCCAAGACAGGGGTCCTGAAACATCTTCCAGTCTCAACTGTGTTGGTGTGTCCATGTTCCCATCTGCTATCTCTACACACAAACATAGCATGTGCTCAAACCCCTGCAAACTCATTCCTCTTGTCTCAAATGAATCTTGTCCTCTTTTCAATATCCAACCTTGATGCAGCAAAAGTGAAACACATCTCCTTATTAGGCAGGTAGACTGAGCACCACCTCAGTATCAAAGCACTGGTGTCTACTGATGCCTGAAGGGGGGTTTGGGAACAGACAACCCTTTGATGAGTTCAGACACATTTAGGAATGCTGAATTCACAAGGTTCAGACAGATTTGCTCAAAAAACAAAGTGTTCTAAATAAAGCCATAATGGTGGACAGCCAAAAAGATTTCCAGATGGTGCAGTGCTGTGACTCTGTTTGCGGGTACTGTATTCTGTCTCGTTGACCTAGATACTTTTGGCCAGTTCCACACTATTCTTGTTACCACGGCTCTGCACTATTTTGCAGGCAGTGTTTGTAGTACAGTACTGTTTAGCTGTAGTACTATTTCAAGTCAGGTCTATGACACCTTCAGCATCGCTTTCTCCTTAGGATTACTTTGGCGAATTGATCTTTTATGTTTCCTCATGAACTTAAGAAGTCTTTTTTCCTACTTCTGTGAAGAATGTCATTAAATTTTGATGGGGACTGCATTGAATCTGAAGGTTGCTTTCGGTACACCATCAACAAATGTGCTGGGAAAATTGGATGCACACACGTAGAAGGATGAAACTAGATCCTTAACTCTCATGTTCTATGAAACTCAATTTGAAATGGATGAAAGACCTGAAGTTTTGGAAGTTCTAAAGGAAAACAGGAGATGCACTTCAAGTTACAGGTATAGGCAAGAACTTCCTGTAAAGCACCCCAATTGCTTATAAAAATCACAGCGAGAATTGACAACTAGGATCACACAAAATTAAAAAGCTTCTGCAAAGCCACACATGGTGGAATATACCTTTAACCCCACCATTCTGAAGGAAGTGAGAGGTAAATCTTTGTGAGTTCAAGGCCAGTCTGGTCTAGATACTGAGTTCCAGCTGGGGCTACATAGTAACATCCTTCATTCATATATATACACATACATACGTATATATATAGGCATATCTTCTGCATATCAAAGGGAACAGTTAATAGAATGAGACACAAATACACCTGCAAATGGGAGAATACCTTTTTCAACTATATCCCCAACAGGGGATTAATGTATCAAATATACAAGAACTCCAAAAAACACACAAATAATCCAATCAATAAATGGCCAAACAAATTGGGAAGGCAGTTCTCAAAAAGATCACATATAAACATCTAGGCATAGTAGCCGATGCCTTTAGTCACAGCACTCAGGAGGCAGATGCATGCAGATCTCTGGGAGATTTGAGACCAGCCCGCTCTACATAGAGAGTTCCAGGCCGGTTGGGGCTAAAGGGAGACCCTGTCTCAAAAGAAAAAACAAAAAATAATCAAGCATAAATATTTGATAAACGTATGAAGAAATATTCAGCATCTTTCAACAACTGCTATGTTGTATCCAGAAAACACTGTTTCAGAGTAGTCATCCATTGCCTCTAAGACTCTTCCTGTCCCCTCTTCTGAAACGATTCCTGAGCCTTAGGAGGAGAGGGTGTGATGTAGGTGTCCCATTTAGGGCTGAGCACTTCACAGCTTCTTATTCTCTGCATCTTGACCAATTGTGGGTCCCTGTGTTGATCACCATTTACTGCAAAAAGAAGCTTTTCTAAGGAGTTACTGGCAATTGATAACTGCTGGAGAGGGAGAATTAAAGAGTATGGCCCCTAGCAGGTCAACCACACTCCAGTGTATGGCCCCACACCCAAGAGTATGTAGGCAACATAAATTGGACTCAATTGGGTTTAAAGAAAAATGAGTTCACAAAGTTGTGTGCAAGGGAAGGGGGTGGGTCTGAGAGGAGTTGGGGGAGAGGGAAATATGATCAAAATAATTCATAAAATTCTCAAAAGAACTGATAATATATTTTTAAACTAAGAATAGGACTACCATACTGCACAGCTATGCCACTCCTGGGAATATATCCAAAGGAATCTAGGCTGGCATGCTACAGTGACATTTATTAAGGCAACATCCACAATAGTCAAGTTATGGAATAAGCCTAGGTGTAAAGACAGTTAATCAGTCATGGAGAACAGTAAGATTTTGTCATGGGTAAGAAAACGGAGAGCGTGCACTGTTGAGCAAAATAAGCCAGACATAGTTCAAGACAAATATATTTTCTTACATATGCAGAATCTAGATTTGAGACAGAGGGGGTCGGAGGCGGGAGAGGAAGTGCTCAAGCCATAGTATCACAGTGAGCTGCCATTTTGAAGAGGCCATATTAACTCCTCACTGCTTCTAGACTTTAATAGTCTCTCTGCTGATCCCCATTTCAATTCGGCATATCACCTGATATGTTCTCTTCCCACGTTCACATTGACCCTAACCATGCCTCTATCTGTGCACTCAGGCTTGTTGACAGCACGTGACAGTCAAAGAGTGCTGACATTACATGTTAACTCTTCTCTTTACTCTTCACATCCACTCCATCATCAAGGCCTGAGATCCTGGCTAGGGAAGGGATGCTTCCTTCTATCCACATTCCCACACCATAATTCTGACTGAAGCATCATGGGGAATTTCACTGATTCCATCTCCCAAATCTCTCTTGCCTTCGTCCTCTCATGCTGCAAGCTTAAGTTCCCAACTGGCTGTTCACCTCCATCCCTCAGCCCTCCTGAGTCTACATCTCTTACGGTACTTTCTCTGCCCTCTACTCTTCACTGTGACGTTCTGATTTTCTTCTCTTTCTTCACATCGAGGCACTGCTGATTTTTCCTCAGAAAGTCCTGAAGTTCACTTTCACTAATTCAGTGGATATTTTGTGTTACAGAAAGGGACAGTACAATGTGGTTGGCAACCATGGAGAAGCCATGGAAAATCCAACACCCTGCCCTCTGCCTTGGCCCACTTATCCTTCAAACATCCCAGGCACATTCTCACCCCAAGACCCATATAACTGGGGTTCCTTCGATCACAAGCATTTTCCCCATATAACAGTACTAAGGCTTTCTCTGGGAGCTAACTTAAAACTTCAATTTTTCTAAAAAAATTTATTTTTATGTGTATGAGTGTTTTGTCTGAATGTAAGTGCACTACATGTGTGCAATGCCCACAGAGGTCAGCAGAGGGCATTGGATCCCCTGGAACTGGAGTTTCAGATGGTTGGTAGCTGTCATGTGGGTGCTAGGAATCAAACCTGGGTCCTCTGGAAGAACGGCAAGTGTTCTTAACCACTGAGCCATCTCTCCGGTGTGCCCCCCACCCAATCACTCCATTCCCTGCTCAACTTTCTTCACCTTTATCACAACATAACATATTAAGCATTCGGTTTTTTTTTTTAATGTGTTATCTGTCTCCCTTACTAGAAAGTGA